TGTTCTTTCTCATGTGTGTCACTTTTGAAAAATCAATAAAAAGCATGTGAAATATCTAAATGAACACAGGGGAAACAGTGTCAGAAATCAATACTTCTCTACCAGCACGTTTAACCTGCTGAAATGAAGTGTTAATCACAGAAATAAGATACCATATTACATTTATAAACTAATGAAACTAGAAAAAGCAAAACATGTGACACTATAATTAAACAGCTGGAAGACATCCAAGCCTGTGTAAGTTGATAACCCTGGTACAATCTCTGGCAGTGAAAAGGCAGGTCTGCAGTGAGTTGATATGGCCAGCGCAGTTGTTAATTGAATAGCAGGCAATCTATAAACACTACTAATTGCATATGTGAAAACCTGTGCACAACTAGAGAAGCTGCCTAGAGAAGCACTCCAGAAAAACTGCGTGGATAAAGCACCCGGCAAATCTTCTGTCTCTCTCAATCCCTTTAAGTCATAGCTTAGTCTTACCACTGCTTCCCTCTGATTAACCTCCACCCAGCAGACTTAATGATACATTTTTCAAAAGATCATTTTTCTTCCTAACCAGATATACACTGCACAACTATCAATTACCCATTCATTTCAGAAAAGAACAAACAAGTAATCTAGAAAATTCAGCCTGTGAATGGAAAGCTTTCTAAATCGTAAAAGAAGACATGGTCTTATTCCCAACAGGCAAAATGCTTTTCAGAATTGTTCCGATGCATTTTGCAGAAGTGGGGCAGCTGCTGTGAACAGCATGGAGTGTTAAGATTTGACACTTTTTTTCTCTCTCCTAAGAATATAGCCATTTGGGGAGGCTCAAAATTGTTGTCAGAATTTTACTATTCATCCATTTAATAAATCCTTTTTAAATGATTATTACTTTAGGATCTAAATCAAACTTTAAAATTTTTGAATCTTTAGAGAAGACTGCTTGGCCTAAGGGTTTAGTTAGGAAACATGAAATCTCTTCTAGTTTAAAATACAAATTCAAATAAGGCCAGTTGAGAGCAAAGGTTGCTATCATTCTGAAGGTGTCTAGCAGCTTCTGTGAAATGAGTTGAGACTTAATCCACTCCCTAGTAAATATAATGTCACATCATGAAACCCGAAACTACCAATCAGAGTTTTGTATAGGTTTCAGAAGCACAAGTATTAAGGCCAGACTGACTTATACTCACATCATGGCTCTAACGCAAAAGAGTTATTGGCAAGAAACTTAAGACTGCTGGGACTCAGTTTCTTCATCTGTAAAGTGGGAATTAAAATATACCTCATAAGGCTGCCCTGAGGAATCAGACAGATAATACAGGAAATATGATTAGCAGAGCATCTAGCATAAAAAGTAGACTTTTAAAAAATAAAGCATGGCCCTGGCTGGTGTGGCTCAGTTGGCTGGAGGTCCTCCCATGCACCAAGGGGTTGCCAGTTCAGTTCTCAGCTGGGGCATGTGCCTGGGTAGTGGGCTCAATTCCTGGTGGTGGTGGTGGTGGTGGTGGGGTTTGCTGGAGGCAGCAGATGGATGTTTCTCTCTCACATCACTGTCTCACTCTCTCTCTCTAAAAATAACAGTAAACTATTTTTAAAAATAATAAAACATGTTACTCATTACACACAAATGAAAAAATTAAAATATGTGTTGCAACAATATGTAATCAAATAACTCAGGGGTGCCCAAAGCTGCGTTTTTCTCTCATATTTCATCAGTATAGAAGAAAAATTCCTTGGAAAAAATACAAATTTGAATGTCTTACTTTAAGATATAGACATTCTTCAGCTGACACTCTATCAAGACTGAGAGTAATTCCTCAAATATGAGGTTCCAGGTCAATTAGAAATAAAAATGAAAAGCAACTATAAAGAATCATTCATTGTTTATTGTTTAAAAGGCTAAGTTTATAAGTAGGAAGGTGTGACAGAGGGGATGCATAGGAAAATGAATGCAGTATATGAAAGAGCTGTGATCTCTGCTTTTATCCCAGGTATTTGCTGTCTGGAGACCTCTTAATCTTAAGAGTCCTTAGACAACCAGAAGAAAGGCTTGATTTTCAGTTCTTAGATATTAATTTCAATCAACCACTTTTATTAAAAATCAGAATTGACAAACACTTTGTTAATTTCACCAATTCCCTGACTACCAAAAGGTATGCTAACTGAAACAAGCTTTGTAGATCAACCAGGTCCTACAAGGTACTGCAAAAGTCTTCCATTTATTTATAGGCAGAATGAAAGAGAAGGGTATAAGGTCCAGTCCCTGCTACAGTCCAAAGTGTATTTCACTGGTGGAAAACCCCACCTACATTATGGGCATGGCGGCCTTTTGGAACCAAATCTGTTTCCCGCACATGCAGCCTCTCAGCGCTATAAGCAGTTAGATTTCTCATCGTTACTGCAATTGAACTTTAAGAATTTGGAAACTGTCAACACAGAGCTCTCTGCTCTTGAATTAATTTTATTTCTTGCTCCAACAATCACACTTCCTGCTTGTAGGGCCAAAATATAAACCTTCTTTTTACTTGTTCTCCCAGGTAAATTTGAAATTAAGCAGAATCCATTAATAATAATCAATGTATTAAAATACAATCATGCCTAGAGGAAGCTCCTCCTAGATTACCAAAGGGAAATAAAGTATATCAAGCTAAAATTGCAATGCATGCTGAGTATTTAAACATGGGTATTAAAGAAAGCATGATTTTTTTTCTCAAATAAAACTGTGTGAGCATAATTATTGGCCACATAGATTTCACTTAACATGTATTCAATATATTTATACTATTATTGTGGATATCCAAAGAGACTCTACTCAAAACGAAATCCATTACTTGAAATTAGGAGAAACTGTCTGGCCAGAGTGGACAGTTGGTTGAATGTTGTCTTGAGCAGCAAAACATTGCTGGTTCGATGTCCAATCAGGGTACATACCTGGGTTTCGGGTTTGATCCCCAGCCAGGAAGACAACCAATGAATGTTTCGTACATGAATGTTTCTTTCTCTCTTTCTCTCTTTGGGCATGTCCTCAGGTGAGGATGTTAAAAAATGAGAGAAGAAAAAAAAAACAGAAGAAACTAAAACTATAAAATATGGATCAATCAATTATACTAGGAGAGTGACCTTAAACCATTTTTAAAAGTGGTTCATTTCTTTTGTTTATTTGTAAATATGAGATCACACAATGGAAAAAACCCTCTATAGAAAAAGAATCCATAGATGCTGATGAGTCGTATCAAGACAAAGCCTTCCCATGTCCTCCACTGAAGCTGGCATTATAGAAGATTCCTGATATAAACAGACAAAACTATTTTTCAAAAATCTTAAATCTTCTACCTTCATATAAAAAGATTTTCAAGCCCTGGCCGGTTTGGCTCAGCGGTTAGAGCGCTCGCCTGCGGTCCGGAGAGACCCGGGTTCGGTTCCCGCTAAGGGCATGTACCTTGGTTGCAGTTTGTCCCCGGCCCTGGTTGGTCGTGCGGGTGGCAGCCACTCGATGTGTCCCTTTCACATCGATGTTTCTCACTCTCTCTCTTCCTCTCTCTCCCTCCCACTCTGTCTGTACAAAAAATGGAAAAATGTCCTCGGGTGAGGATAAAAAAATAAATAAAAATAAAAAGATTTTCAAACTGCTAACAGTATCAAAAACCCTGAAAACACCTATTACAAATACATTTTAATTTAAAACAACCATGAGTGGTATACCAGACAGCAAGCTTTGTAGCTGAATAAATAATCCTTACTCTTAGGGAGCTCCAAGTGAAAATATATCTCAGACCATTGCCTATAATAGAATGTGATATAGTAGACCAACCTGCTACAGGAATACAAAGATGAAAAGTTGGGGGAGAGGGCATCGCAGAGCAAGCTTTCAGTCTGAACAAGGAGGTTTAAAAGTGCATGACCTGAAGATATGGAAGTAATACGATGTGATTAGACCATAGAATGCATCGAGGTGGAGTAGTTGAATATAAACCTGCAAAGACAAACTGTGAAAGGCCTTAGATCCCAGGCAAGATAGTTTGGAACGTTTCCAAAATTCAATAAGGAGACATCCAAGGGACATGTTAGTGCAGGGAAGTGCTTCAGAATTGTGTCTTCGAAAGACAGTTCTGATGGAAAGGTCAGAGTAGGTGGGCATGGAGACCTGACACAGGGAAGCCAGTTAGGGGCCAATGTAACCGTTCAAGTGAGAAATGACAGGTGTGAACCAGGGCAATAAGGTGAAAGGGGACTGAAAGAGTGAGCATCGATAGAAATTGGACTGGATGTGGAAAGAGAAGGATCACCAAGGCTAAGTATGCCATTTCTAGCTTGGGTGACCAGAAGAAAGAGGAGTCTATTAACTGCAACAGGAAATACCAAACGATAATGTTTAGAAACTTCTAAAGTTCTCCTGGATTAAAAATAAAATTATTACATACATTCATTGGAGAAACTTGGATTTTATAAAATGCAAGTTAAATGAAAGTATGTCCAAGTTATCACTGGAAAGAAGTAAACTTTGGCTTTTTCGATTCAAGCAAACATACTTATCCTTCTTAGCTAAACATGCTACTTTTCACACAGTAACAGCTCACTAAACTTCTTTGAATGTACCTCTATTCTCTCATTTATCTAATTATTTCCTATGGCTATGCTGTATTTGTCAATCAGATCTTCCCAAACTCTAGAAATTAAATAGCGGTACAAACATTTCATACTGTTCTTGAAGAGCATGCATGTTTAGAGTTCATGTATGACACTCCAATCTGCCATTAAAGATTATCAGAAAAGGGCTGTATAAGTTTCATGCAGATGTGGAAAGGAGAAGGAAAAAAAGGCAACTTCTCGCCATTGGGTTATACTTTGGTCCTCATAAACCTTCTGGAAGAAGTGGTGAGCCCATCAGAATTCAAGCAGCCAGGTATGAAGATGAGTCCGACCAGGGAACTTGGCAGTTACCTAGAAAAAGCTGGAATGGTTTGGGAGACTTTTATAAAAGAGACAAGGCAAGCTTAAAGGAATGTAAACATTACCTTCAACATCACAACTCAGGTAGTTACGCACTTCATTCAAAATGAAGTTGATGTCATCTTCTGAAGGAATAGGATGATTGGTGATATTGGTTGGGGTGTCGGTAGTACCAGCTATAGTCATCTTTTGCCAGGGTAAGAAGAAAATAACTCGCCCATCACTGGTCGCTGGGTCAAGAAGTCCCATACTCTCTGGGCTGAGATAAAAAAGATATTTTTTGAAATTAGCAAAAGTTTAATCTTAATCTACAATTTATGTCATTGACCAATTTTCATTATCAATAAACAAGAACAACAAGAGCTATTCTTTTTACTGCCACTAACTTAGTCTGAAAATTCCTTTTAAAAAAAATTGGCCCTGGCTAGGTGGCTCAGTTGGTTGGAGTGTATCCCATATGCAAAATGCTATAGGTTCTATTTTTGGTCAGGGCATATATTAGGTTGTGGGTTCAATCCCTGGTTGGGGTGCATCTGGGAGGCAACCAATCAATGTTTGTCTCTCACACCGATCTCTCTCTCTCTCTCTCTCTTCTTTCCTCTCTCTCTAAAAATCAATTAAAAACATATCCTCAAGTGAGAATAAAAATAAATAAGTAAAAAAAAACAATTTGGTAACCAAAAGGAATGGAGCAAGTGTGATAATGACAATATTCCACAGCAGAACCAGCCCTCCTCATCTCAAAAATGCAAGATTAATTATGAAAGTGGACTTCAACTTACGATTGTTTGGGTTTTTATATTCCTTGGACCATTCACATCAGATAATGTCAGCGAGATAAATGTCTATAATTTCTTTTATGATGGTCAATTAAGAATAGCTCTTCAACCTTTTTTCAAGTCTATGAAAAGTATTTTCCTGGGACATTTGACATTTGGTACATCTTTTAGTAGAAGGTCTCAGAAGCACATGAGAAAAGTGAAGGGTCTAACTTTCTAGAAACTAAAATGTAATCAAAAAGTTCTCTACTCCTTTGTGCCTAGATGAACTTGTACCACTTCACCAGAAATGAGATGTCTTACTTTATTTCAATTTGACAGAAATCTCAAGAAGTACATCCATAAGAAAAGGGCTCAGTTTTCTACTATCACCTAAATAACAATGTACTTGGATAAGGTCAGAAAGGAGAATGCAGTGAAACTCCGTATACAGACCGGCAGCACTAGTGCATATACTGTCAAATCAAGGTTTGAGGATGCCTCCCCGGACAGATCACATGCAGCCTTCCAAAACATCAACCAAGGATTTTCACTAACACAGCCTTCATATTCGAAAACCAAATTATAAAACACACTTGAAAGAATAGGCAAGTGTTAAAAAAAAAAATGTGTTTTTAATCACTAGAAGCTGTGGTTTTAATGTGTTCGTTAAGCAATCAAAGTCATTTTGAGTTGATGAAGGAGTGGGAGGAACCTGAAAGTAACGTTTTCAAACAGAACACTATAATCTTCAGATGGCTGTTTCTGTTTGACTAGATTCTCAGAGCAAGCCAGGGTTAACCGTGAGGGATTTTCAGTTTGTATGAATGCAACTTCTGCAATAAGAAACACAATTTTATTTGGTTTAAATACATTTTAAGAAATCTCTTATACCCACAAACTTAAAAGGGCATATAGTCAATTTTTATGTGTATTGTTCCCTTAAAAAAATTATTTTTAACTCTGATTGATTTACATGTATAAAGATTAGAATCTAACAACTGTAAAGAGCAAGTAAAAAATAATTGTTTTGCCCTGGCCGGCAGTATTATGCTCAGTTGGTTGGAGTGTAGTCTCGTACACCAAAATGTGGCGGGTTCGATTCCCAGTCAGAGCACATACCTGGGTTGTACGTTCGATCCCTGGTTGGGGTGCATGTGGGAGGCAACCAATTGCTATTTCTCTCTCAGATCTCTCTCTCTCTCTTTTCCTCCCTTCCTCACTCTAAAATTAATTAAGAAATTGTTTTATGAAAATGAAAATACAGTCAGCTTAGCTAATGCATTTTCTTTATTTAAACCACAAGGAATATTAGTCTCTCTTTGCAAAACCCATTAGCCTCATGAAATGCCTGTCATGTCTACACAGCCTTTGGAGAAAGAAATCACTGTCTACAGACTACTTGAAAGACCCAGGAGAGACTGGTCCACGGTTGTACTTAGCACAAGCAAAAAAGCACCACAGAAGTATGTCAGTCATTTAAACCTTCAGCTAAAATTTCATCTTCACTCAGGGCTACTGTGAGAAAATATTTTTACGTTCATTTTTATATATTGAAAAATATAAGTGTAGAGTATTTTCAGTCTCTACATGACTATATTTTTTTCTTTGTATTTGTCATAAGACTCTAAAAATCTTAAAACAAACTAGTTCATGATGTGTTCTGTAAGCACCTAATTTGATCCTGGGTTAATGTTCCCTTAGATTAAATCAGTCACTTTGGGACTGGAAATTAACTCATTCGGAGTTCAAGCTTTCAACTTGATAAATGGTACTATACTGAAACAAAAAGAGAAATTTCATATTCCAACAAATTAAGTGTTGGTCTCTCTTACATACGATCATTTTATGGACCAGATATCGTATGCCTAAATAACTCAATAAACCCCATCAACTTCAGCATAAAATTATAATATTCAGCAACCTAGACATGAAATGCTGTTAGAAAAGCACAACTACTGAATCTTTTAAAACCTTTCAATGCAATAAAAGCAGTTTAAAGGGTGAAGGTGATGGTTACCAACACACGTAACTGGAACCTGGAGAGAATCAACTGCTTAAGTGAAGACATATGTGTCAAACATAAAATTAACAAGCACAGAGGGAAGACAAAGCTATTAATGTCTGGTATAAAAATTTAAGAATCCATTTGGAAATACCTTTCATCAGTTCTAAATTACCTAATTCATACTCTCCCTTGGGGAAACGTTTGTTTTCTTATAAAGAATTAATTCTGCAAGGTTACACTAAAGTTTGAAAAGGGATATCAACTATAGTGATGGTGTACACAATAGAGCGAGGCACTGGTCATTTTCAGTATGTGTGATTCACTTGACATCAGGAGCAAAAAAGCTTACTGCTAATTTGTGTGTGTAGGAGAAATATAATGAACAATTTTCTCATTCAGACCATTGCCTTCCTGAAGTCCCTTTATTTAAACTGAAATCAATTTATCGTTAACTACTTAGCAATCAGTGGTAGAGCTAAGAGTATGTACACAGATTACAGAAAAAAAGTGACCTGTTGTCAGTGGTAAAAGCATCTGTAGGCTACAAGGAGGAGATGATTGTCATGTATTTCAGCCACTTGGTGGATTGCTGGTGCTTTTGTTGAGCATAACCACAACTCTGACAAAAATTCCAGATCTGTTCTCAACAAAAGAGTATCTTTAAAAATAAATGATTTCGCCTGGCTCAGTGGATTGAGTTTGTTCTCATGGTTTGAAAGGTGCCCGTTCGATTCCCAGCCAGGGCTCATGCCCAGGTTTGGGGCTCAATCCCCAGAAGGCGGTGTGCAGGAGTCAGCTGATAGATGTTTCTATCTACTTCTCCCTTCCCCTCTCTCTAAAAAAAAAAATAAATTAAATAAAATATAAAAATAAATAATTTCTGTGTGTTGGGTTTTCTGAAATTAAAATAATTTTTAAAAAGCTGTTACCATGGCCCAAGAGAATTCCACATGTGGAATGTTAGGCTTATAACAAGTTTAATAAATGCCATTAAGATACTCTGAAAACAGCCCAACAAGATATACCCACACATGTCCCTTGCTCTCCATTTAGCAGCCTACACACAACAGGTCAGTGGCTACTGAACTCACTGCATTTCCAAATGGAGCAGGTTCTGCTTGAAATGTTAGGTCTTAAATTATAATCAGGCAGTTTCCAGGGCAGCCCCAGATGGCCTGACTCATCCCTGAGGACCTAGTTAAAGCCTTGAGTTATAATTGCTGAGTATGATTGACTGATGAACCCAGAGAGATGTTTCCGTCTGAGATCTCTTCACCCCAGCCAAGAGAATGACTTGATATGGAGAGCTAAACTTTCCTCAGGGATGCCATAACCACAGCTGCTCAAGGTCAGTACCAAAAGAGGGAATAAACCCTTAATCCGAGTCACAATCCCAAACCAAGAAGCTCATTTGCAACAGAGCCGGAAGAGGATGCCGACCACTCCTCCAAGGGTTCCAGCGGGCTAGGGAGGACTGTGGTTCACAGTGCTAACTAAACATGGGAACACTCATTTCTCCCTAAGCAGAATGAGATCACTTTCTGCACCTTAGACTGATTCAGACCCAGCTCTGACTAATGCTTTCATGATTTATGGTTATGAGGTCCTAAGCTAATGCCGCATTTTTAGGATAAAGAAAGGCATCCTGTTTTGAAAATATTACATGCAGGTGGTATATATTTATATATATTTAAAAACACCTATCTACCCTATTATTAACATATTATAAAGCATAGTGCAGAACAATATGTGTAGCATGACCTCTTTCATGTAAAAATTTTAAACAAGTATACATTTGTGCAAGCATAAACATAAATTTTCTAAAAGTGTTATTGATTACCAGAGAAGAACTGAAGGGGAGGGGTGATGTGGGAGCATGAGGAAGAAGAGGGAGGCTTTCCCTTTTCATTTTGTATCTTTTTGTTTTTCTACATAGATTACTCTTATTTATTTTTGCCTATTATAGGACTCATCCAGGCAGTACATTGAAGACTTGTATTTTGTTTTCCTGCTTTAACTTCTCTATACTTAAAAATTCCCTCGTGTTATACTAAAATTTCCATTTTAAAAGCAATACTCTCAATTTGGGCAAGTTAGTAAAAAAAAAAAAAAAAAAAAAGGTAAGTTAGTAGAAATATTTGCTAGACATTGTGCCAGGAGCTGGGATACAGCAGTCAACAAAGCAGATTAAAAGTAACCAAAGGATGTTGTAAAAATGTATACAAAGTAGGTCCTGTCAGGAGATAAGGAAGCAGCAGCGGAAAGAACCAAGGCCAAACGGTTCACAGAAGTGCAGTGAGGAACTAGCTCGGGAAGTTCTGCACCGAGCTATCACCCTAAAATACCCTCTCCAGACTGCCTCCTGTCTATGTACCCTGCTGGAGCAGAACGTCTTCCACTTTAATAATGTCAAACTAAGGTTCATGCAATAAACTGGCTGATCCCAAATGATGTCATTATCAAGTGGCAGACGTAACATAGAGGATAATAAGTGTCCTCAGAAATCATGGGACAGTAGTGAAGAAAACACAAAATACATACACAAGGAAATATGCGGGATCTGGTGAGATCTAAACAAATATAAGGATTACGATGATGTGTGTGTCTTATAGTTTAGGTATTGAGTCTGTACTGTAAGAGATGTTAAAAAAAACACCCTCCCCCCAAAAAACTTATAAACCAGCTGAACTTGCATATTTTTAATTCAATACAAAATAAATGAACATAATTGTGTGGAACCTTTGAAAACTTCTTGTTATGTAAGAAACATTTACGAAAACATTTATAACATTTATATATATTTACTTCTCTCCTTTCATTTGACCTAAACTTGTGCTTAGCAGTTTTTAAAACTCCATCACCTCACACCTGCCAGAATGCTGCCATCAACAAATCATCAAACAAGTGTTGGCGAGGGTGTGGAGAAAAGGGGACTCTAGTACACTGCTGGTGGGAATGCAGACTGGTGCAGCCACTGTGGAAAACAATATGGAGTTTCCTCAAAAAGTTAAATATATAACTGCCATTTGACCCAGTGATCCCACTTCTAGGGGTATATCCTAAAAAGCCTGAAACACCAATCAGAAAGAATATATGCACCCCTACGTTCATAGCACTACTATTTACAATTGTTAAGATCTGGAAACAGCCCAACTGTCAATCAATAAATGAGTGGATAAAAAAGCTGTGGTACATTTATACAATGGAATACTATGCAGCTGTAAGAAAGTAAGATCTCTTATCCTTTGAGATGGCATGGAGGGACCTGGAGAGTATTATGCTAAGCGAGAGAAAAACAAGTACCACATAATCTCACTTATTTGTGGAATATAATGAACAAAATAAACTGATGAAAAAAATAGACCTAAAGACATGAAAGTAAGGAACAGACTGATAAACCTTAGAGGGAGAGGGAATGGGAGGGTGGGAAAGATAAACCAAAGAACTTACATGCATATATGCATAACCAGTGAACACAGATACCAATACTGTGTGTGTGTGTGGGGGGGGGGCAGGGTGGGTTCAGGAGGAGGGTGTCAATGGGGGAAAAGGGGAAACATCTGTAACAAAAATAAATAACTAAATAAAAATAAAAACTAATCTTTATTGACCAAAACAAAAACAAAAACAAATGGAAGCCCCTTGGTTTCTCCACTTCTAAGCAAAAATGCTGACAACTTCTACCCAAATACATTTAGACATTAAGAAAATGGAAACAAAACTTTAAATGTTGGTGGGTAAGAAATTCTCTAATATTTTTCTTGGTAGAAGTGTGATATTTTTTCATGGTATAATTGTATTTGATACAAATTAGGTGTATCTTGGACTCTCTTTGGGAATATTTAATTACGGGAAAACTGATAATAAGGCAGCAGCATCTATTACATAGCAGAACAGCATTCTAAAAGAATGCAGATATTAAACAAAATATCATAGATCTATACATCCATTTTATCAACTATTAAAAAATGTATGTGTCCTTGACGGAAATTATGAAAATATGGAAGAGCTACCACTCATCCTCAACAGGTAACCTAGAAATTATCACCTTTAACCTCAAATTGCATTACCTAGAGACAATCACTATTTAAACATTTAACATATTTTAGTCTTTTCTTTATAAACTTATGTAATATTTAGATTATATTGCACATATAATCTGTGTCCTGCATTCTAAATTAACATGGTTTAAATTGTTTGGATCATTAATGTTTTCCTAGGACATGAAAATTATTTATAATTATAATTTTAATGACTATGTAATATACCCTTTCCAAATATATCATAGTTGACTTCTCTGTTTTCCTAAGGCTAAGAACTGAAGTGGTTTCTAATATTTCTCAGCTACAAATAATGTCATAAGAAATATCTTAAGCATAAATCACTATTTCACATAGAATTACTGGTTTGCCTACTAGATTTACCACATATGGAAATAAAAATGGTATACATGTTCTATACTCTTAGCATGACCACATAGATTTTTTTCCACAGATGTCTTGAAATGTAGATAAGGGGTAATCATTGTTAATTTCTTAGCTAGAGCCACTGAATGCTTACTTTTTAATTTATTAAATTTTGAACATATACAAAAATAGAATATTTTTTATGCCCTACACTCAACTTAAACTGTTTTCAAATAATATATTTTCTTTCATCTTTATCCCTAATGATTTCCCTGTTTCTTATTATCTTTGTTACTAAGATAAGTTAAAAATTATATCTGATTTTTACTTGCTATAATATTTTTCAAAATATAGTTCAGAAGTTAGAAGCATAAAAATACCTGAGTGGTCCTTATTTTCAAATTCTTCATAAGGAAATTTGGATATTTTAGAACATTCACTTTTTAACTTTTTAACTTACATGTCCTTTATAAAAATGTTTGCAAAATTAATTTTTAATGTTTTATTGAAAATTAAAATTCAAACACATGAAGGCTTAATCTCTGAAGATGAGCACACTAAAGAAAGTACAAAACTGGATCCCAAATCATTCATTCCTAAAAAGGAGTATTGCCATAAAAGCTAAGAAATTGTATTTTGTGTTTTAGATGAATCCCTTGCCTTATTTCTCCTCATTTTTTGTTTATATTTTAATTATAATTGACAATGCAATATTCTATTAGTTTCCAGTGTAAAACACAGTAATTAGACAGATTTCTCCTCATCTATTATCAAGAAAGGTGAGCTAAAAGAACAAATGCAGATGATTCCTGTGGCTCTCACTCTCTGGGGACAGTCCTGGGGCTGGAATGCGTACCTGTAATACCCGGGCATCACAATGTGGACCCCCGCACTCGGCTGGCAGATAACTGTGGCGTCCTTATCATCCATTTTGCGCACAGTGTCTGTGAAAGGTCCTGTGGCATTGATAACGCATTTGGCTCTCACATCAAATTCCTGCCCTGTGAAAGAAAGCGGCATCAATCACACACCCCCTTCGTTCCTCTGCTCACGGATGCTTCAGATTATTAATTCATCTATTAACCTATGGCGAAGTGCGTTGTATACCACCCTAAGTGACATGAGCAGCCAGAGTTACTGAAAACCCACATAAAAGCTCCCACCTGAGTTCATTGTCCAAAACCAAGTTCAAACTGGGGAGGGGAAAAAGCATGCCACGTTTTTCATTTCAGCTCTCAGTTATTTTGCAAAATGCCTGGCATCAAAATGCCAAATATGAAGAAAGGTGAAATGAGTAAATAAGCTGCTTTCTCTTTAAAACTCAAATGTGTAAACAGTGTTGTGGTGAGACAGTATATTTCACACTGCTGGTTTTGTTCAAAGATACGATGTAATTCTGAAACTGTGCCTACATGCCATGGATTCAGGATAAGAATTAAAACCTAACCACAGTAAAGTGATTGACTTGAACAATGTGTAAATGCAATGCTTATATCCCTTAAATGATACTTTGAAATGTGGCACATTCATTTCATTTTATTAATAACATGTTTCTGTAAAGAAAACGAAATGCATTCATAGCTTCATAGCTGTGGGAACTTGGTGGGCATTTATTATTATTGCATTTATTATTATTATGATCATCATTATTAGAGGAAAATTGCCAGGTCCCACAAGGGAAAATTTTCATGTTAAACCAGTCACTGTTGACAACAAGGAATATAATTAAGGTGACTCTGAAATCTGGCTTAAAAGAGAAGTGACAGAAAAATTATAATTCAGTCATTATACAGGCAAGGCAAGATGCTAAGAACCAGCTCCCTGCCAGAGCCCTGGCATACCTGTGAGCACGTCCTTGCACCGCGCGCCGCTCACATGCTCTTTGCCTGTTTGGGGGTCTGTCCTCTTCAGCAGGCTCAGGACTTCCATGTAATTGGCCGTGGCAGCCCCGTACCTGGCAGCAGTCAGAGCAATGGCAAGGTTCATCCGTGCGTCGTTGTGTTGTCCTGCAGCAGGGAAAGCATAGGAGGGACAGGAGTCACCTCGAGCCACAGGCTGGTGGTACAGAAGTGTGTCACAACAGATATGTCACATCTGTCCCTGTCACCCGGAATATACGTGATGGCTGGTCAGCTCTAGAGGGCAGATTTAAAAATACATGGTCATCCTCGGTCAGGCATTTACCTGCCACTTCAGCAAGTGCACTTTTGTACCACAGAAAGGGCGAAAGATACCCATACAGAGCTCATAGCAATGATGTGAAAGTTAAGCAATAAGTAATTATTCTCTCAGCTTGGGAACATATGTATATGTCAGACTTTTCCTAATACAGACAACCCGTATGCATGAAAGTGAAGCGATTCAAAACTTCAGAATATTTGACACCCCAACTGGTGTTGATGAACAATTTTTATGAGTATGTGCTCTATCTAATATTCAAAATCAAGAGCTTAATCTTCCATAGAGAATCTCTCAGTATTCTATAAAAGGATTTTTCTTGGTTTGAATTTTGATCAGCGCTCCTTAACATGTAACATTTTTTTTTAATCGCACACATAAAAGGTAAGAAATTAAGCAGGGCAAAATTTAATTACAGAACAATTCCTACCTGTATTGTTAAAGATTTATTGCTGAAAAAATCCTAGTTAAAGAAAACTGAGGGGGAGGTGAAGGGGGGAAAGATGATTAATCACTTTAAAATACTGGCATCACTAGAGACTTTTTCTATTTATTATTGCCAGTGGAGTTAACGCTGACCAGGAAGAATTACTCTACATTGCAGGGGCCAGGTTCTCTGTGCCCTGAATAATTAATTACCCAGGGCTAGATGTATTGAAGCAGGGTTCAAATCCCACACATTTGGGATCAGTTCTATCAAGATAATACCGATAAAGGGATGAATTTGTAATGAATATTGTTGTTGATTTATGTTGCCAGCATACCAAACATTTAGTATAAATGGTTTATGTAAAGTTTCTTCCTTGTGATTCAGTCTGTGCAGGGCCAGAGGCACAACACAAGTAATCTGTTCCAGCTAAAAGGGCAAAGTTATAAAGAGAGAATCAATGACTGAAGATGCTGCCGCCTCTCCCCACCAACATCTTATTCTAAAACCGCTCGGCTCATACAATCAGGCCAGAACCTTTCCCTCAAAATTAAATCCTCTGTCAAGTGGAGAACACACATTAAACCTCAACATGCAGAATGAAAAGTTTTTTTTATCTAAGAAATTAGCAGAAGGAAAGTAGAAGAAAGAAAACAACAGCAGCAGCAGGACCTGAGCTAGAAGCAGGAAGAAGGGTAACATTTCCATCAATTTCAACTTAGCATGACCCTAACGTTGCTATTAAAGCAGTCAGTAGGTGTATTTAAAGTAATTTCAAGAGATCAACTTTTACTTAAAATTGGAATATGCTCCACAAAGTTAAATGCATACAAAGAGTCCAAAGAAACAAAATAAGAAATCCAATATAGATCTTCTCTTTAAAGAGATTACGCATCTAAACTAGAGAGAGTACCCATCGAATCCAATCTTTCTAGTAGATATATGCACATTACAATGAAACACCCTATGGGTCATTCAAAAAATTCCAGACTTGTTTGTACAGCAGGGAAACTCTCCCATCCAGGTGTGCCTTGATTTACACACAGGGCGAGTCTCTGGAAAGCCATGTGTAAATCGATTGTTTTAAATCCTACATGGAGTCACTTCAAAGGAGCCAGACAGAAATCCCACTTATTAAATGACAGATTCCTTTGTAAAATGGTATATCTATTACACAAGCATCTGGTAATAAAACTCTAAATTCTGAAAATACAGAATCTTTCTTTTAATACCTTTTAAAATATAACATCTCACTGGAGCAGTACTGGTATAGTTCATCATGCTCTGAAGCTTCTATATTAAGAAAATCCCCCCTAGTAAGCTTTCAAATCCTAATAAGGTAAACAAGATCAACCTCAGTGGAAAGTGTGAGGTGGAAACAAGTTCCTTCGGTCCTTATTGTCCACACCTGCCCTGAGACCCAGCAGCATCTGCCTTGCCTGGAACCAGGTAAATCACTTACTTATGAAGGGCCGTCATGGCATGACTCTCATCCGCCACCATTCTACTCCCATTAGCCTCACTATTTAGGATTGTGAAATTACTGGCAAATCCCTGAACACCCGTGTTATTTCACACCTTCTTGCCTTTGCCCACATTCATTCTTCTGGTTGGAATACCACTGTGCCCTCTGGACAACGCCCATCATCTCTCATGACCTGGTTCGAACATCTCCCCATGAAGTCTCTCCTTATTTGCATCCCTCCAAGGCAAAGTTGTTCATTCTTTCTTCTGCGTCAACATTACATCTTGTGCATACCGCCTTTATAGTCTTTATGATACTACAGTCATCCATGTACCCATCAGGTTCAAAAACAATAAGCCTTGATGATGAGTCTGGCACTGTGGCAAGTGCAGGGAACCCATCATGGTGGGAGCGTACAGGTGATCTACGGTCTCGCAGAACTTCTGTCCATTGTGGTGACTGTGATTTGCCATGTCTCTCATCCCAGTCACGGACAGTCAGGAAGCCTTACTTGTTCATCTTCCTTTTTTCTTATTAGTACCAAGCATATCCAGTAAGTGTTACGTGTAGCAAAATTCCATAACTAAATAAAGATTATTTCTAGTCAAAAATATATTGTTGTAAAGATTTATTCAATTTTTTCACAATTTTTATAAATTTTATAAAACTCTGTAGTCTATAGAGATTTATAGTCTTATCTCTATGGAATGCAATGTGTTGTCTGGTGTTAAGGAAATTGCAGACATCAATAAGTTAGTGGCCAAAAATTTAAGGGGAGCAGGAAACCCCAGAAATGTGTAAAATCTGAGCTTAAACACAAAGTGGGATGAAAGGAGAAACGGTTATGTATGATTCCTTCAAGATTTACCCACAAGTTTCCCCTTAGTCTGCAGGGGAAAGCCAAAAGTTATTATAAGCTCCTAGAAATTGATGAGTAAGTTGAGTTTCCCCTGGGCCCAGGAGCTCACACCTGCACCCAGAAGTTCACTTCTGTGCAGACATTCAGCTTAATTCATTCACCTCCTTGGGTTCATGGCAGACCTGCTCCTCTATCCACACTAAATTCACCCTTCACCCTAAGACACCCAGATGCTTGCAGTGTGTGCTTCCTGTGATGAGTGGTATATTTTCACTCTTCTTAACTGAATTCCTCCAAGCCACCCCCCACCCCTTTCCTGACATTTTGCAAGGTATCAGCATGCCTCCTGTAATTTCATTTCTGGAGAAAAGAGTTTTTGACAACACTACATGTCATTGGAATGCGATACAATAATCTCAACTCCCCCACCCAATTGATCTGCTTATTAAGTTTGGATTTTCAAATCTGTTTCCTCTGAGCCAGGCAACATGATACTATTCGCTAATCAGTGAGCAGCTTTACATTGGCACTTACACAAGGACCCAGACGGGGACTGTGAAAATCTGTTTCCTACTCTTCTCCTTTTGCACTTGAAATCTTACATATGTGCACATTCTGAACTTACAACTCATCTGAGAGGAAGCACAGAAGAGGTGGAACTGTAACTGTTTTCCCTTGTTTAGAAAAACAAAATGTTGCATCAACCCACTGAACAGAATGTAGGTCAGTGGTGGGAGAGAAGGAGTTTGCCTTAATCCTCCATGGCCTCACACACTGGCTAGTGAGAGAGATTTGGAGGTAAAATACTGTAGGACATAATTGTAGGACAGGCCTCAACTATAAATATTTTGGAGACGTAGCAATATTGCTCTCCTCAGAGGGTTTCAAGGTTTGGCAGCTAAGTTAACATGCAAAACAGTTGAGAAAAGAGAAATAATCATTGAATGTGTAAACGAACGGTATGAAGAATGAGTAAATACCAAAACAAAAAACAAACAAAAAAAACCCCCTAGGTAACAAATCATCCGGCATTTTCCTGGCCCTTCAGATCTAAAATTCTGTGCCGCTGTGAAATTCTACATACAACCTTTTAATACAGCATACTTTCAATGGCCATTTACAGTGCACACGTCTATCTATATGGACCCAGGACTTCATACAGAAAGTCTAAGTGTTAGAGAAAAAAAGTTCTTGATTAAAATACCTGTCCGAAAATTCATCATCAATTAAAACTGCCACCGTTGAAGTGTTGAGACTATTTCCTTCCACCTGCCTGTGTCCTGACCCTACTTCTAGAAGGAAGGGAAAGAATACATGGAAGAAAGAATACTTCCGTGAAGATTTAATCCTATTTCTGACAAAATGCACATGGCATGCTTCATTGTCTCAGAATGATGGTGTCACAACAACCTCTCAGGCAGCTTCTCCTTAGCAGTCAGACAAAAATAATTCAAGGGCTAATGGCCTATCAAACTCAAGCTGATTTCACAGAATCATTATATTTAAAATTTTCCTGTCTAATGGGAAGAGTTCAGATAGAGGCAGAGTAAAAAGAAGTGTGTGTGTGTGAAGACATTACTAAATTCTGGTTTAAGTACATATGATGAATAAACTTAAAAAGAAAAACTCAAAATGAGAACCTATTTCATGGTAAATTGTGACAACAATGCATCTCCAAAAGTAAATTATTAAAAATATTTTTTCTTGCCCTGGCCAGTTTGGCTCAGCGGTTAGAGCGTCGGCCTGTGGTCCAGAGAGACCCGGGTTCGGTTCCTGCTAAGGGCACGTACTTCGGTTGCAGTTTGTCCCTGGCCCTGGTTGGTCGTGCGGGTGGCAGCCACTCAATGTGTCCCTTCACGTCGATGTTTCTCTCTCTCTCTCTCTCTTCCTCTTTCTCCCTCCCACTCTATCTGTACAAAAAATGGAAAAATATCCTCGGGTGAGGATAAAAAAAATATATATATATTTTTTCTTTATTGATTTGAGAGAGAGGAAGAAAGAGGGAGAGAGAGAGGGAATCATCGATGAGAGAGAACATCGATTGGCCACCTCCTGCATGCCCCCCATTGGGGATTTG